CTAGATCTAGGCTATAACGGTGAACGCGCACCGGGTGAGAATAGCCAAAAGACTCTCCTGCACTATTCTCACCCCGGGTGAGAATAGAGGTGTGAAATAGTGCCGAAAAATAGTCTAAAAATGGGTCTGGACCGTTTCTATAAATTTACTGGTGGCCTTTTCACCTTGGCAACTCAGTCAGCTTTTTTACTTGACTTCCGTTTTTGTTATCTATTTTGTGTATAAATTTCTGGAGTTAGTCTGGGACCACTTCTCCCGAAGATTGCCAAATCACTTAATCAAGGCATACTGTGATTAGAATCTTGAACCAATTTTCTTCATTCAGGATCAAGATTTTATTGTAAAGGAGCTGTCTTTCAGTGGGGGTTTTTTTCAGCTGCAATTTGAAAAAAACTAGAATCTAGATTCTAACAGCACTAATGCTCAAAGAAGGAGAAGAATGCAGATCAAATGAAACGACATCATCATCATGAACTAAATGATACTAAATGGACTGACATGATCTTGAATTGTGCAGAGTATTTTGTTGTAGACCAAAGCGTATATTACACAGTGGCTACGTTCACGGCGCCACGAAAGTAGTTTGCAGGCTATGTTCACGACGCCCTGAATCATCCTCCATTGGCCCAGAGGCACGACTAAAACGCTACGGTCACTCAAGGTCAACGAGGAAACAACACAGGAATACTTGCGTGAAAAATAATGCAGCGGTGGTCGGAATGCAACAGAGTTTTTGGAGGGCAAAGGTGGGCACAGCAAAACAGCTGCGGTTGACAAGGCCTCGCTCGCTCAGCACGCGGAACACAACTTAGATCTTCTTCCCGTGTACGGACCCGGCAACGGTCGACAATTTGAAAATAAAAGTGGTAAAAGAAACAAGGGAGGATGGAAGAAGGCAGAGGGGTGGGAGGGGGTGAAAAGAAAAAGAAGGAAAATGGTAGGGGGTGAAGTGAGCAAGATCATTCTTAAATTGCAAACTACATTCAGGGCGCTGTGAATGTAGTTTGCTGTAGTCACTGCGTATCTAACTTTTAAAAATCTTTTTTGAGCAGTGCTATGCTACTCTGTAGTTAGATTATAATGACTTGTGATTTGTTAGCCGTGGCTGCCCTTGTTCCTTCTTTCAGTGGCACAGTTCAGACTTCACTACTACTATACCTTACCATAATAGGCTCTCTTTTCTTATCTCGTTTCTGATTTACCAACAAGACTAGCCTTTTAGAACACACTAGTATGTCCATTGTTTTGGTATCACTGAGATTTCCCCATGCATCTCATTTATGAACAAGAAATTTAATGAATTTTCTAAATTAGATATTTTTAATGTGTTACAGAGGCCCTATTCAAAGCCATGCTTGCCCCCCGGGGTAGTGCCACTGACTGTAGTGTCTTTAGGCCATTTCCAAAGGGGGGACATTTCTTGTTCAAGCACAGTAGAATTGTAAATGGGCTGATTCATGTCACGCTCATAACTGTGCCTGATCTACAACAGGGAACTGCTGCTTTCTCTTTCCTAATCCTCACTATTGTCATTTTCCTCTACTTCTTTTGTATGTTTGTCACTCTCTTGTGACCTGCTATTTTTGGGGTGCCTTGATAGTTGAAGCAGACCTTGTGCTGTTGAAGTTAGAGAGGTGAGCAGAATAAGTCTGATTCCCTGTAAAGACTTCTCTGTTGACATCCACCCCTTGGCGCTCATATATGAGCTTTTATGCAGTTGCGAGCGCCGTAAAACCCTCTTAGGCCTCTACTATAAAAAAAAAAAGCCATGCTTGCTGATGAAAGTGAAAAATGTTTTTTCTATTGTTTATCTATCTACTTCGGTACTCTCAAAATACTTTATTTACTGGTCTTTCCCATCTCCCATCTCATCTCTTCAAGTTCTTTTACAAAAAATTTAATATGTTGTTCTTGGTCTGCCTCTGCCTCTTTTGTCTTCTACTTTTTCATAGAGAGCAAGATCTATGTTCAACTGTTGATTCAGTGAGAGCAAGATGTTCAACTGTGTGTGTATCCCAAAATCCTCATTATTCTCATTTGTACGATCCTGATTTTTATAGTAATTATAATTTAAATAAACAGCCCACACTGACCTCCTTCAACCTTCAACACTACCTCATTTAATCACACTGGCCTCTTTCAACCTTCAGCACTACCTCATTTAATCACACTGGCCTCTTTCAACCTTCAGCACTACCTCATTTAATCACACTGGCCTCTTTCAACCTTCAACACTACCTCATTTAATCACACTGGCCTCTTTCAACCTTCAGCACTACCTCATTTAATCACACTGGCCTCTTTCAACCTTCAACACTACCTCATTTAATCACACTGGCCTCTTTCAACCTTCAACACTACCTCATTTAATCACACTGGCCTCTTTCAACCTTCAACACTACCTCATTTAATCACACTGGCCTCTTTCAACCTTCAGCACTACCTCATTTAATCACACTGGCCTCTTTCAACCTTCAGCACTACCTCATTTGATTTCTTTTCATTCCATGAAGTTCTCAACAGTCTCCGGAAACAGTATTTCTGTTGTTTCTATGTTGTTTCTTGGACTTTTCTGCAGTAATAAAGCGCCCTATCAGTATTCTTGCCATTTTGCTGGCCTGTGTTGTTTTAGTTCTTAGCTAGCTAAGTCTTCACTATCTTTAATAAATAGTTCAACATTAACAACTTTGTAAAAGGTTGACTAAGCGCAGCCTTTGAAAACTGGTCACTGAGTTTGAGATGTTTTTACTTTGTGAACTGGTCAACATAATTTTTTTATAAATCTTTAGCTAAATTGCATTTCTTTATAAATTTCCATAGTACATTTGGAATCAGTTGTACTGGATAAACTTGTCTAACATTTTCTCCTTTGCTGAAAATTACCAATATTGAATTTACTGCTGTTTTAGATATTACCATGCCCTCCAGAACTTTTTTTTTTCTCTTCTTTTTTTTCCCCGCACATGTAAGAATACAATTATAATCCATTACATTCACTTTCCATCACAATATTATCAGTAACCTATATTTTTACATTTTTGCAGGTCTGTATGTTGCCCCCTGTGAGTGTGTGAGGATTGTTTGTTGGTAAGATCTGTCTCTGATGAAGATGTCATGTGACTTTCTAAGAAAAGCATCCAGAAGGACAAGGCAAGAGATGGTTTCCTCAAGATGAAGAAGAACCTGCTTGTCTTTTTGGCTTGCCTGGCGCATGTCACCAGCAGCAGTGGGGCCACCTTGACCCCCATTACCCACGACCCTAGATGTTACAGATCAACGAACGAGTCTGGTTCGTGCATTCCTCTAACGTCAAAATTTTGCCTGAACACACAGCTGACCTTTGATCACACATCCCTCAGCCTCGCCAATGATTCAAACACACTTGAGGAGGTATATGAGAAGCTGAAGCTCTGGAGTGGCTTGCAGAATGTGCCTCAGTGCTGGGCTGTTGTCCAGCCATTTCTCTGCTCTGTGTACCTTCCCAGGTGGGTGAAAAAAAGTATAAAACTCTGCCTTACAAGCTGTTTTGAAAAGTGACGTATGATAAAGTCTTCTACTGAACAGTTGATATGCAAGATATAATGCGTGAAAAGTTTTTTTAAAATAGTTGATTTATAAATCATAATATTCCTGTCAGTAATTAGAAGTTTGAGAAAAATTATGTGAACATTTTTTATTCTTAAAGTAGTAGCTTTGCTTTCGATACACCAGATTGGAATGAGCTTGATCTGGTAGTTAGATTTTGATTTTGAGTATATTTGTCAATTAAAACCCCCCCCAAAAAACAGCCTTTTATCACAATCATGTGACATCCACAACCTGTTATTAAGAATATGTTTGGCCATTTGTTTCTTGTATCTGGTTATAGGCTAGTGACAGTTGTGTGCATCTGTCTCTTTGCTGCATTAAATTATCCTTTGCAATTGTGGGTAGGAATGGCTGTCAGGGTGACCGAAAGCTTTTGGAATATGACTGATGTTTGCTGAGCGGTGTGTTATTATGATAGTGCTCTGAAAACTGCTATTATTATCATTAACTGTAGTGGTATTGTTTTGCTGCTTCTTTTTTGTTTTAATGACAAATGGTAGTGTATAAAAAAGTCAAGGGATGTTCTTGTGGTTGTTTACATTGTACTTTGGAATAACATTTGTATTTTCTTATAATTTGTCTATTGTTGTGGTGACGTAGAGGGAAAGGCATGAGAGGTTTTTTTTTTTTACTATATAGTGCTTATTGGAAGTACTAAGATTTAGTATTGGGTCCTCATACCAAACCCAGTGCGTCCCCAGGTGGTTTGTAAATATGTGTGTGTGTGTTTTTATGTTTGTATGCATGTTTGTATAAGGATGTGTTGATGTGTTGGTGTATGTATATACCACCACACTGCAAATGTGGGTGGTTGGCGGGTGCTCTGGTGTGGTTTGCTTCTTCTTTCCTATAAAACATCTATCTATCGTCCTTATCTCCCCTTCTTCTTTTTTATGTTTGTTACGTGCTTGTAACACCTCTAATCTTCTGGCGCTCATATGACCTTATGCAGTTGGGAGCACCGTAAAACCTCTACTAAACTAAACTAAAACACTGCAAATTCATCTTTGCAGAGATCAATAAATAAAATGTTATCTTATCTTTTTTTGTTGTTGTTTTCTAGATGTGATGACACGCTAGGGGTGGAGCTGCCGAGCCAGGAGCTGTGTGAGCGCACCCGCAAGCCGTGTCAGATTGTGTACGAGATCAACAATGGTTGGCCAGACTTCCTGCGCTGTGACCACCCGAACTTTGTCTCCGGCTGTGGGGTGGGTAGATGGATGGATTCACTTACATAAAACTATGTTGGCCCAGACTCGTATTGTTTGTTCTTCTTTATCCTGCTACCTTTGTCGAAGTTTGCATTGGAAAAAACCTAATGCTTAACTTAACAAAATCATGTTTTGTCACGAATAAGAAAAAAGCCAAATTTTTAAAGATTTAACTTCAATTCAAAATATTCACTCTCTTTTCATTGAATGTAGAGATTTCCACCAAAATAGGGTTGAAGGATTTCCTCTCAAATCGACTTTGAAAAGTGGATTCGACAACAATCTGGGCGTTTTTTAAATTCAAAGTTTGGTATAGGCCTAAAGTTTTGCAGTAGAATCTAGACTGTAGGTGGCTTAAGGTGTGATGCGGCAGCTAGAAATGCCGGTTTGGGGCCAAATTACACAAAATGACATAATTACACTTTAAAATTCCTGGACATGTCCTGAACAATATCTAGAAAGGTACTCAAGCCTCTGTGCACCCTAAAGTGGTGTTTAGGGGGATTTTAGAGCATAGGGTTGAGTCTGTTAGTGTTAGAGAAAATATTTGTTGCGAATTTTGATTTAAAAAAGCACGCTATTTCTTTCACGATTGGTACTATTTTTTTGCTCTATTTTTTACTTGAATTCAGTGAAACTTTCACAGAATGTCAAAACCATAAAAATCTAGCTGCATTGGTTCTTAATCTGTGAGCTTGAAAGGCTAGGTTTCCAGTTTTTCCACTATATCGCTTTAGCTGGAATTGAAAGTGCCATAAAGTAAAAACAAAAGAGGATATAAAAAATTCCTCTTACAGACAGTGTGATCTTTGTCTTATTAGTGTGCATGCTAAATATGAACCTAGTCTGTATGTAAATAAGGTGAGAGAATGGTACCACATTATGTCTCTAAAATCCAATATGGCCGCCGTTTCCATGGCAACCGAATCAGTAATTTTTTTTGACAATGGGTAACAAATCTCCATTTCCATATAATCGTTTACATCAAATATAAGCTCCTTAGAAGTGGTAGGCCCTATTAGCTGAGATAGGCTTATTCTGCCACACCCTCCGGTTAAAGAACAGGCCAGTTTCGTTTTGATATAGATCTAGAAGCAGAAAATGGTGCCCAAATGTACAGTGGGAGAAGGCAGTTGTTACAAGTTTGATGTTGGGGTGACCACATGGCACACACAGTGTGGCACAGTGATGGGTTTTTTTCTGTTGCATTCTTGCTTTTTTGAAGGTTTTTGACATAAGTTGTTCCTTTTATTTTGAATTGGTCTCATTGGCCATAGCGTAAGCCTCAATTCATATAAATCCTTATTTTTTCTATTTTTCTTTAGAAATATCCTCCTCTTTAGAGATGCATTGATGATTGTTCGTTGTCAAACATTGATGGCCAAATCATTATTATCATTATTATTATTATTATGATTATTATGATTATTATTGTTATATTACTACATGTATCATTACTATTATTATTATACAGAGTGTTGTCTACATGTGTGTTTGTGTGTCTGGATCATTTTTTTTTTAGGGGGGAGGGGGGGGGGGATTATGTTGTTGCCTGGAGATGAGGCTGTAAAACAGTAGGCTAGATAATCGTAAAGGACGTAGAACATATTGTAAGCATGGATATGGGTTTTATAAATGCCGTTTTTATTATTATTATTATTATTATTATTATTATTATTATTATTATTATTATTATGTCAGACAGTTTCTTTATGCAGAGTTGTGGTATTTTCTTGGCTTTGGTATAAGTCGATAAATTTAGGAATCTGTTGCTATTGTTGCTTTTAATTCAGCAACTTATGGGCCTATAGTTTTCGGCGCTATTCAGTATTGTAGAGGATGGCTGACTTACATAAACTGCTGTGTTGGAAAAACAGTCAAATGCCAATTAATTGTGGGCTAGAGTGTTTGGGTGCATGAGTTGCCAGGTTGACAATTACAGCAACAATCTCATCAACCAGGCAGTTGTTAACAGTTGTATTTGTGGTTGAGAAAGGATAGTGATGGGTCTTGTTGGAAAGATTGTAAGTCTTCTTCGTGGTATCCATGGAGGAGTTCAGCTCTTCTTTTCATCGTTATTCTCTCGAGTTCTGCCGTTCTAAATGGAATTGCTCTTTTTTGGAAATTTAGTTTACTTTTGTCATAAGTTTGCGATACTTCAAAGTTTGGTGTGAGATGTGAAGACATCACTCCAACTCAAACTGATGTTTGAAACAGCATTTCAACAACTGTGCCTACGTCTGAATGAAAAAAGTCGCTGTGTGTGTGTGTGTGTGTGTGTGTGTGTGTGTGTGTGTGTGTGTGTGTGTTTGTGTGTGTTTGTGTGTGCATGATATATTGCATGAGAAGAAAGGAAGTAGTAAGAAAGGTTTTGAAAATGAGTATTCCAATGTAAAGCGCATTGAGCTACTTTTTTTGGAAATGCGCTATATAAATGTTTTATATTATAATTATTATCACAGATCATGATTCTGATTATCATGTTTTTTTCCCCTCCACTTGACTCCTTTCAGACAGCGACGTATGACAAGTTGGTATTCAACACGACTGGTCGCTGTGAAGCCCCCCTGGTGCGCACTGACGACGCAGGCAGCTGGTATGACGGTGTAGAAGGCTGCGGTGTGCCCTGCGACAACCCTCTGTTCACCGCGGAGCAGCACAACGAGGTGCACACGTTCATCGCCGTGTTTGGCTCCATCTGCTTGGTGTGCACGCTCTTCACCGTGGTGAGTAACAGGAGAAGACTGAGAATAAGAACTCCCCCCCCCCTCCCCCCAGGGAAGTGCTACTGACTGTCTTAGTGCCGTTCTCAAAGGGGGGATATTAACATGTTCTTTTGCACAGTAGAACTGTAAATGGGCTGATTTATCATTGTCATGCTCATACTGTGCTGGAACAACATAGGGGGAACTGCTGCTTTTTCTTTCCTCATCCTTACTATTGTATATCGTCATTTTTCCATTACTTCTTTTGTATGTTTGTCCCTCTCTTGTGAACTGCTATATCCAGGGTGCTTTGATAGTCGAAGCAGACTTTATGCTGTTGAGGCTAGAGAGGTAAGCAGAGTAAGCCTGATTCCCTGTTTGGACTCCTCTGTTGACATCCACCCCTTGGCGCTCATATGACCTTATGCAGTTGCGAGTGCCGTGAAACCTTTATTAAAACTAAAAGGAAAATAAGAACTGGTGGTTGGCGGATGTTCTGGTGTGGTTTGCTCCTTCTTTCCTCTCAAGCGTCGTCTATCGTCCTTATCGCTCCTCCTTCTTTTTTGAGTTTGCTACTGTCTCCTAATACCTCTAGTCTTTGGCAAATAATATATGACCTAATTGTTTTGCAAGTGCTGTAAAACACTTACTAAAATATAAAACGAGAGAATAAAAGTGGATCAATTTGCACAAATAAACCCTAATAAAATGTTTAGCCTGTGGGAAAGTTTTGCAGCACCATTGTCTCTGACTGAAGCTTCACATGATGAAAGATTCAGGGTATGCATCCTTTGAAGAGAATTCTCACAACTTTGAAAAATTTGCCTGAGTTAATGAGAGTTGCTGCTGAACATTTGTGTTTTCACCCATCTTGTTCTTTTGGTTCTTTTGGTTCTTTAGTGGGCTCTCAGCATTAAGCTATAAAAAGGTCATTCCATAAAAAAGTGAAACCGCAGTGACACACGTGACGTGGGGATGATGACTTCCTGAAAAAAAAATCTAAGTAGTGAGAGAGGCATTTGTGTCCTGATGTGGTGGAATCAGGTGCTTGTCAGTTTCTTGACATATGGGGCTATTGGTATCATGGTGAAAAAAATATTCATCTATGTTGAATAGGAGTCGAAAATTTGCGATTGAAGGACAAAAGTCTTTGAAAACATGTCAACGGACAAATATTCTTGCTGTCTCAAGAAAAATGATGAGTAATTCAAATTATTTTACCTACTCTGATCTCGATGAACCTCAGTTTCTCATTTCTCTTGCGACAATATTTATAACCTTGTATTATGTGCTTTTTAGTTTGATCTGTGTAGAGTATGTGGCTCTGAGTACTTCAGGTGACATTTTCATTGATTGGAAGAGTAGAAACTGCCGTCTGCTTTTTTTGAGTAATGAAATGTAGATTTTAGAATGAAATATTGGCAGATTTGTATTCTCATCCACAGTACATTCTTCTATCTTTCAGCTAACGTTCATCATTGACTGGAAAAATGCAAACCGCTACCCGGCCCTCATCTTGTTCTTCATCAACGCCTGCTTCTTCTTGGGCAGCATCGGCTGGATGTCGCAGTTTGCTGGGGATGCCAGGCGTGACATTGTTTGTCGCCGCGATGGAACAGTCAGGAAGGGAGAGCCGCAGCTCGGGTCAGTCAGCTGAATGTAAATGGCAGCTCTAAGATAAGATAAGATAAGGTCATGCTTTATTATCCCAGATGGAAATTTTTCTTTGCTGTACAAGACTGTAAAAACACATGCAGGTATTCATAAAAATTTAAATTATATATTTCTCTCATTAAAATTCAATATGAAAAGAAAAGTAAAGCTGACAAAACGTGCATATGTCACATCAGATGCATCATTTTACCGCATGCAGGAATTTAATTGACAACTTCCTCATGGAATGGGCGGGTGGTTGAATGGCTACATTGGTTGGTCCTACTTTTCTTTCTCTCTTTTTTGATTTAGTCCCTCTTACTTTTTCCCTAGCACTAAATGATGGTCACAATGTCAGTGTACTTTTAACATGACAAAGATTTTTTTTTTATCACTTCTCTTCTTTCAGTGAATGATATCAAAAGCGTAGTCCAAGTTATAATTATGGGTGGTTGGTGGGTGCTCTGGTGTGGTTTGCTTCTTCTTTCCTATCAAACATCTATCGTCTTTATCTCCCCTCCTTCTTTTTTGTGTTTGTCACTCTCTTGTAACACCTGTAATCTTCAGCACTTATATGACCTTATTGTGTTGCAAGTGCCGTAAAACACTTACTAAAACTAAAAAACAAGTTAAAATTATGGCCCTGCTCCTGTCGGCAGATCTAACGAGAGTATTTCCTGCACGGTGGTGTTCATCATCGTCTACTACTTCCTGGTGGCGGGAGTCTCGTGGTTCGTCATGCTGGCGTACGCCTGGTACGTGACCTTCACCGCGCTGGGCACCTCGCGGGACGCCCTCGTCTCCAAGACTGCCTACTTCCACTTGGTCAGCTGGTGTCTGCCTCTGGTCCTCACCATTATTTGTCTGGCTATCTCTGAGGTGAGCTTATGGCTGTTTAGCTGACTTGTCAATCTTTTAAAAAAAATCTTCCTGGAAAGATGTTATTTATATGAATGGGTGTTTATGCCCTCCCTGGAAAAACAAAAAGCGAAACAGACAGGGCAGGATGGAGAATAACGAATTTACAGGACTTGAACAGACTGGTAACATGAAAATTTCCAGGGTAATTTAGGTTTGTTTAGAACATCCACGCAGAGAAATGAGCGGTGAACCATGATCGCAGGTGTCTGTTTCAGTGGACATTGTTATCCAGAGTTCTCATTCTGTACCACTGCTGACTGGTGAGCACCTTCATTCGAGAACACTCTTGTTAACTTAAACATTAATCATCTCCTTATTTGTAATTTGAAAATGGAACCTTTATCTTTCCCCTGACCCCTGTAAACTGAATGACTGAACAGTCAAATGTTTCCTTGGATGTACTGGGTTGCTAGAGGGCGCCAATGGTAGTTCCTACTTGTTTATTTTTTTCCCTCTGTTGTTTTTATCTGTCGTTCTTGTTTTTACCTTCGAAACTAAATGATTGTTATGGTGTCAACCTGCTTCTCTGGATTCTGATCAAAGTAAAATAAGTGGGTGGTTGGTGGGTGCTCTGGTGTGGTCTGCCTCCTTCTTTTCTATCAAACATTTGTCGTCCTAATCACTCCTTCTTTTTTATGTTTGTTACTCTCTTGTAACACCTCTAATCTTCTGATGCTCATATGACCTTATGCAGTTGCAAGCACCGTAAAACCTCTACTAAAACTAAAAACTAAAACTGTTTCTTGTGCTCCCCGGCTGTCTAGGTGGATGGTGACTCGGTGAGTGGCATCTGCTTTGTGGGCAGCTTCAACCACAGCATGCGGGCTCTGTTTGTCCTGGTGCCCGTCGGGCTGGTCATGCTGGTCGGGACCTTCTTTTTGCTCCGAGGTAAGATCTGTGTTATATGTGTCATCATCATCATCATCATTGCCTTTCTTTCCATGGATCAGGATATAAGCCTTGAACAAACACTTTCCACCTTTCTCCCCCTCTCTCTCTCTCTCTCTCTCTCTCTCTCTCTCTTCTGGTGCTGTGGCGTCATAAATGGTCAGCGATGCCGACAGCACATAGGAACTCAACAGTTGCCTTGGGGTCCTTGAAGAGTGCTGAAAGTGGGTTACTGAAATGTCCCAGCAGAAGTTGGCGGGACATCTCAGGAACACATGGTCCATAGTCTCGTCCTCCTCCTTCCACCTTTCCCTATCCTGGGCTAGTCGCTTGATTCACTCCATGTCTTCCCACTTCTCTGTTCATCCATTTCCGTGTTATATGTGTGGCCTGTGTTAATTTGAGTGATCTATATTTACCGAATGTCTAGCATGTTTCAAATTTTGAATACAGTGATATTATGCAGGACATCAGGATATAACGGGCTACATAATTTTGTATTACTCCCATTGCTCTTATATTATTTTACAGCTTTGATTGACTAACGTTTTTCTTTGGGAGGAGGGGGGGAGGTATTTTTTATTTTCTTCTTTATCATATTAAAAAAACATTTTGATACTTACTTAATGGTCAGGCAGCTTTTTCTTTTCTGCCTGTGTTTGTGGCCTACTTCAGAGCCATACGATGGGAAATCATACAACATACACTATGCAAAGAAGATTTTAACCCTTTGGTTCTCTTGAAGTTGTATTGCAGATTTGATTGTATTCTTTCCCACTGATGATGTTGGCTGTGTACTGGATGGTTTATGCTTTTTTTAAATACTGTTTTTGGAGGTTGTTTTCGTTTTTTTTTTCATGTTTGAATTTGTGATAACAATGTCTGTGAGGGAAGAACAAAACATCTTTGCAGACAAATTTGATGCTTTCAGGAATGGTTTGGGAAACTTTAGGCTTCTCATTTGTTCTATATTTCAATCAGCTGTTTTTTTTGGTTTTTTAAAAATTCTTTTTAAATTTAAGGGGGTCTTTTCTGATAACAAATTAAACCTGCTTGTGGCGTATATATAATTTATGCACAATGTTTGGCTCAACTTGAAATATTTTTGAGGTAATAAAAAAACCCAATGCTTCTCACTGTTGTTTCCTCTCCCAGGTGTGTACACGTTAATCAAGATCAGGAAAGAAGCACCTGTGTTCATACCGGAGAAGACTTTTTCCAAGATCAGGGACACAATTCTTAGACTAGGTAAGTTATATTTTGGAACAATGGAAGCCTGTGCGGCTGATTTGTTAGTGCTGTACTCTAGTCTGTTCCCTCTACTTTGGTTCAGGGTCCTTCTTACCCAATCAGACTGCTGTTTTTTCTTTCCTCATCCTTACTATTGTCATTCTTCCTCTACTTTTTTTGTATGTTGGTCACTCTGTTGTGTACTGCTATTTCCGGGGTGCCTCGATCGTCGAAGCAGACTTTGTACTGTTGAGGCTAGAGAGGTGAGCAGAGTAAGCTTGGTTCCCTGTACGGACTTCTCTGTTGACATCCACCCCTTGGTGCTCATATGACATTATTCAGTGGCGAGTGCCGTAAAAACTTTACTAAAACTAAAAGAGTGAAACTTAGACCTGCATGATGCAGGTGGTGTTTGTTTCTATGTTCACCTGGCTTCATGAGTAAATGTTCTGTCTTTGATTTATTTCTGCGAAGTTAACTCTATCTGTTGTCCTCCTCTCTCCACCTTCTTTTTTGTGTTTGCTACTCTCTTATAACACCTCTAATCTTTGACTCTTAGATGATCTTATTGTTATGCAAGTGTAGTAAAACTCTTTTGAAAATTAATGTTAACTTTTATTATACAGGCATCTTTACTGCTGTGGCCCTCATCTTTGTGCTCATCACGTTTGCCGTCCACGTGTACATCTTTGCCAGTGAGGATCGGTGGAAGAGCAGCTTCCGGGAGTACATGTAGTGAGTGCTGTCACTTTGGGAAATTGAGTTTCTCAGCAATCTTCCACTTTGGAACATTTTGTTCACTTTAACTGGATTCGGGTGGTCAGAAAGGGAGGG